TCTCATGCCTTCAACTGAAGCGGGGGTTTCGTCCAGTATTATTTTCTTTTGTTTTTGTTTTTGTTTTTAAATTTTATTATTTTTTTTGATGAACGTGTCATAATATATTCTGCCAAGTTTTCGTTCTCACTGACCTGCTAACCGGTGGTAGGGAAAAAAAAAAGACTGCACCTACCAACCCCCTCCCCCCACCCTTCGGGGGGAAGTCTCATCCACATTGTGGGCTCCTGCTTTTGTTTAAAAAAACAAAGCCCAACTACATGTGTAATCTTTCCTGTAAGGAATTTTATTCTTATAAAAAATACACAAGATCTTAAGCCGTTAACGAAAAGCACATAATTAAAAATTTCAGCGTTTACAATCAAAACTGTTTTTATGACTAAATCAGCACTAACAGCTGCTGCTTGGTTTCTCCTCCCCGCGATTCGTCATAACAGTGACAGCTAGAACCCTTCAGAAACCAAACGTATTTCCCAGCTCAAACGTCGGGAAGCTTTAAGCTGGAAATCAATGAGAGTGCTCGGAAAGAACATCCCTGTTAAGCACTCAGCCTTCATTTATTGATTAGTGCCTATAAAGGCTGGAGTAAATCCAAAAGAAAAAAAAAGGAAAGAAGAGTAAAGAAAAAATTGAGATATCATTACGGCAGGATTACATCCTTTATGCTTTGAAAAATCTAGTAATCCTCGTGTTCTATATCCGCATTTATAGATTTCACCATTACCGTAACATACTTTCTATTCCTTCATCATCACTAATCATAATAGATTTAATAACAAACAATGCTTCACATTCATGTCTTAAGATTAACATAAGCAATGCATAGGAATGTAACAGAAGTCAATATTGAATTATTATCTCTGAAGATTTAGCAATGCTTGGATAAGAATACTTCGAAATTGAAAACTACTAAGGGATTTAAGACAATCTTGGCATCACTACCTTATCCAGCAATCTCATAAGGCCTTGCGATTTAACAATGAGATCTAACAAAATAAAATAATAACTTTACTCTCATCTCTAGAGATTATAACAATACTCACAGTCATCTCTAAAGATGTATAACAATACCTATTATCTTATCATCATCGCTAGAGATTATGTATAACAATATTTATTACCTTATTATCCCTAGATCTTATTACAATAAAGAATCGTACCATCATCTCTAGAGATGTATAACAGTACTCACAATCTCACCATTATCTCTAGAGGTAATTACTTTACTCATCATCTTATCATCATCTCAAGAAATTATTACAATAAAGAATCTTACCATCATCTCTTGAGATTATAACATTATCTGACTATCTTACCATCATCTCTAAGGTCGTATAACAACACTCACTATATTACCATAATCTCTAGAGCCGTATAACAATACTCATTATCTTACCATCATCTCTAGAGCTGTATAACAATTCTCATTATCTTACCATCATCTCTAGGGTTGTATAACAATATTCTCATTATCTTACCATCATCTCTAGAGCCGTATAACAATACTCATTATATTACCATCATCTCTAGAGCTGTATAACAACACTCGCTATATTACCATCATCTCTAGAGATTAAAACTGTACTCATTATCTTACCATCATCTCTTGAGATGTTGGCCTTGAATGAGAGCCCTGGGTTTTCCAGCTGCAGATCGTCCTCAGCCGAGTAGTTGATGGTCAAGGGTTTGTTGGCTAGACCCTGGTCAAATACAGCAGAGGCCGGGACAATGTCCACTGGACTCTGTCTGGGACCGCCCGCTGCCGGGAAGTTTTTAGCCCATGTGGCTGGACCTGGGGAATTAATAATAATGATGATGATGATGATGATGATGATGATGATGATGATGATGATGATGATGATGATGATGATGATGATGATGATGATGATGATGATGATGATGATGATGATGATGATGATGATATGATGATATGATGATGATGATGATGATGATGATGATGATGATGATGATGATGATGATGATGATGATGATAATGATAATACTACTACTACAACTAATAATAATAATAATAATAATAATAATAATAATAATAATAATAATAATAATAATAATAATAATAATAATAATAATAATAAATGAATAAATGAATAAATAAATAAATAAATAAATAAATAAATAAATAATGATAATAATGATAACAAAAACAACAACAACAACAATAATAATAATAATAATAATAATAATAATAATAATAATAATAATAATAATAATATATTAATAATAATAATAATGATAATAATAACAATAATAATAGCATTAATATTAATAATAGTAATAATAATATCTTAAGTTACAAGTACTCCAAAATCAAGCAGCAAAATTTTTAATGAAACAAACGATATCAGCGCACGTAACACCGATTCTGAAAGAACTACTCTGGCTGCCAGTAAAAGAAAGGATCAAACACAAAACAGCCATTTTCTGTTTTGAATGTGTAAATGACACTGCACCTATTTATCTAAAACAATTCCGGGAATTATATCATCCACCTCGAGCCCATAGTTCAGCCACTGACAATTTGATTCTTAGAACCCCAAAACAAAATCACAAAACATAGGGCTAGCGTTCCTTTCTATTCTTTGGTCCTCATATATGGAACGAACTCCAATATAAAATTAGGAGTGTCCCTACTATTCACATTTTCAAAGAACAGCAAAAGCATTTCCTATTCACAAATGCATACCTGTCATAATGATAAACTGTTAGTGTTATACATGCATATTATGTATGCCCGACCGTGAGACTGAAGAAACAGCGTGTGAGAATGAAAGAGAGAGAGAGAGAGAGAGAGAGAGAGAGAGAGAGAGAGAGAGAGAGAGAGAGAGAGAGAGAGGGAGAGACGAAGAGAGAGAGAGTGAGTGAGAGAGATACACAGAGAGAGAGAGATAGGAAGAAAGTGAGAGAGATAGAAAGAGAGAGAGAGAGAGAGAGAGAGAGAGAGAGAGAGAGAGAGAGAGAGAGAGAGAGAGAGAGAGAGAGAGAGAGAGAGAGAGAGAGTGGGGGCGGGGGAGACAGAGAGAACGGAATGTTTATCTATTTAGAGAGAATGAATGCTTTTATCTAATCTTTGAATTTTATTGTGACCGTTCGAGAGTTTTTATAGCATTCTCTATTTTTTAGTGAACGCATTGCCAGGCTCACTGCGTGACTATTTTTCTCATAGAAATTTTTATAGATATACATATTTATGTATACGCATAATACTATGTTTTACGAACACACACGTCCATCAATTTTTAAGATGGGATATCTTTATTAATACAATGCTCATTGAGCATTTTTTTTAGAAAATGGAAATGTGCAGCATATACAGTGCTATCTATATTATTATTATTATTATTATTATTATTATTATTATTATGATGATGATTATGATTATTATTATTATTGTTATTATTTACTTGTATAGCGCACATCCCCACTCGACAGCAAGCTCTATGCCCTTTACACTAATATTATTACCAAAGCAGACCATAGAACACTCAGCGATATTCTCATCTTCCCTGGAAGCATACAGACATGAGAGTAACCAGCTGATTAAGCGCTCAGACACTAACAATTAACATTCGTGGTACGCATTTGTTTGTATGCTTTTATAGAATTCATATAAGCAGTTGCTTTTCTCTGCTTTTCAGCTCTCTGTCTGTCTGTCTGTCTGTCTGTCTGTCTGTCTGTCTGTCTGTCTGTCTGTCTGTCTGTCTGTCTGTCTGTCTGTCCATGTCCCCACCTCTTTCTCACTTTCTTTCTCCCCCCTCTCTCTCCTCCCCCTCTCTCTCTTTGTCAAGAAATTAGAAGAAAAAAAGTTTTTTCTTACATTTTCGGGCCTCGCAGCACGGAACAACCCAGTGCGACTTACATCTGATAATATTTGGTGCTAACATTTACAATGCATGCTAATCCATGTGCATTTACATGAACAAACACCCTTCAAACGTGCATAACTCATGTGAACATAACAATCTTTGCACGTCGGCATAGCACGTACTGCATTTGGATATCTCATTAACTGATTATCAAAATTCAGCCAACTCCTTTTCCATTTATTGAAATTCGCGTTGATTGACATTTGGCATGTCAAATTACTGTGATGTCTCCGAAATATCTTCACAAAAGGAATAGTCAAGGAAATAATGAGTGAGAAAGTTCAAACACCCGTATACATTTACAGGGTGCTTATTGTTCGCCTATGTATAATGGTAAAGCATCAAAGCCCCGCAATTTGGGAAAAGAACCCATTCAAAGTCGCGCATAATCAGAGACGTCAGAGACACGCACTTTTTAACGATATCGATACAAATGGATGGCCAATACCATCCACCGGTTACATCCTCCTTGACAAAAATCACCCCGTACTATTTTCATTAAATCAAATGACGCGAAAACTATTTTCCAGGGTATTCAAAGGACAAAGGGATTGAGGTGTGTTTGTGTAAAATAAGGATAAAGCTGGTTTTTTTTCATTGAAATGACATAACAATGATTCGTTTTTTTCCTTTCATTGAGCCATGTTATATTTGTGCAGAGAGTGATCCAAACATGGCTATTACTCAGATGAGTTCTGAGTTGTGTACAACGGTACATTAAAGAAGTCCAATGCAGCAATAATTATGCTGGTCCAGTGGCCAGTAAAACAAAGAGGGAATTAAATCGCAGAATGGTACTTTTTTTGGTAATCGGCAATCAACTTTTATCGATATCATTTTAAAGATGTGCGCAGCTTTGATATGTATTTTATTTTTAGAAAGTGTTAGGATCAAAACAGCACTGATAGCTTCTCGGTATAATTAAATACAGGTCAATTTCTTCCGAAGCCTCGTGTGCAGAATGCAAATACACATGTAATTGACACTCTCATATCGCCGAGCAAGAAGTGGGCTCTCGAGAGAAAGGGGTAGAATGAACGCGATTGTTGAGGGCGAGAGAAAAGAGAGAGAGAGAGAGAGAGAGAGAGAGAGAGAGAGAGAG